ATGATGGAGAAAGCCATCCTTGCAGATAAGAAAAACCCACTTCCGATGTATCAGAAAGCTAACATACTTGTAAGCCTTGAACGTTTCGATGAAGCTTTACAAGTTCTAGAGGAGCTAAAAGAGTATGCCCCACGAGAAAGCAGTGTGTATGCTTTGATGGGCAATATCTACAAAAGACGGTACATGCATGATAAAGCAATGCTTCATTTCGGCATTGCCTTGGACTTGAAACCATCTGCCGCAGATGTAGCTACCATTAAGGTGTTCTGCTTGCTTACTCATCTTGTTTCTATCCTCAGATTTTCACACACCACTTGTTCTCTGAAATTTTAAATTGAACTAGCATTTTTAAATACTAACTAGTGTTCTGACCTCTATTGTTTAATAGGCTGCCATCGAGAAGTTGCTTGTACCTGATGAAATAGAAGACAACTTATGAGAAATCTCTTCTAAAGGGGGAAACGAGACAATGAGGAATACGGTGTAACTTAAAAGGCACGGAATTTGCTTGGCCCCAGAAAACGAATTAACTATACAAGCATCATCGAGAGGTTGTGGTGCACCGATCAAATGGGCCGATCAATCTAGCTCTGGTAGAACCTCAGTTTTGTAGGTGAGTTCACATACTAACAGAGGTAAACTATGTGAGCCAAGGGTGCAAAAATGTGCCCCATTAGCCTGGCAATATATTTGATTCACCCGTTTGTTGGTATAATACTCCTGAGAAATTTCTCTTCTGCAATCTCTGATCAATTGGCTAGTTGATGTCGGTTTCTCACGGGATCTTGGAGATTGAACTATTATACTAATTAGTATCTTATCTATTAAATTATTAAACTAGTCGTGCAATAATTACTAAACTAACTGTACAATAATTACTTTCCAGCAGGGACCGGGACCAGGAACAGAAAGTATCAAAATTCTCTGTTCATAAAAAAATAAAGGTGGTAAAAAAGTGAGTAAAAGAAGAAGCCACGTGGAGGTTATCTAGAGGACCAGGTGTGCTAGGGTTGTCCGATCGGCCCGCCAATCAGGAAGACTTGGCATGAAAGAAACCACAAAATGGCTTCTATATTTTTATTCTATAAAATTATGGGATTACTGTGACAATTGAATTAAAATATAAAGATTTTAAAATATATGCAATTAAAAGCTTAATACACAGTTAAACTGGCGGCGAGGTTTTGTGTTTGTTGCTAATGATATCTTAATCAACACGACCAGTTGGTAGCTTAAGTAATTCAATTCCTATTTCAGGGATATTTTCGTCATTTCACCCACAAATTCCAACTACATAGGAATTTCCCTAATCAAAAAGAAAAAGGAAAAGTTAAAATAATCTCCTCATCCATGGCGCGTGTCATCCACTCCCACTTTTATTCATTACTAAAATTGGACCTTTTAACGTTCCTTCTTCTCACGCGCGTTTCTTCATTCGTGGGGTTTTTATTTAAGTCTCCTGCTAAATCGTAGTTAACTAATCAATAATTAAATTCCTAATTAATTATTTCGTTTCTATATAAATGCCATCTCCCCCTTCCCCCTTCTCCACGCCGAAATCAGAAAACCCTGAAAACAAGCAAACAAAATTCTCTCTGATCTCTCTCTCTCTCTCTACCGGCAAAACTTACAGTACAGATCGGTTAATGGAAATCCAGCGAAGACAAGCTATGGCGGCGAAGAAATTCTGGAATATGGTTCGAGCAATCGCGTTGATGCTGCGAAAGGAGTTATCAAAAGGCCGAATCATAATGTCCGATCTTAATTTGATGATGAAGAGAGGCAAGCTCGCCGGAAAGGCTATGCTCAATCTGATGCATCTCCACCAGAGCTCCGGTACTCTCAGCAGCCACACCACCACCGATATAGCTAACTCCATCGCCATTGCTCCACAGGACTACGAGTTCAGTTGCAGTAACAGCCCTGCTTTTCCAGCGCTGCAGATCTACGGAAAGCGTGGTGGCAAGAACCGCCATCGATACAACGATGTAACCACCGTCGGCGCCGTGAAACGAGTACTACAGATGTTAAACAGCGAGGCAGCGGCAGCGGATGTGGCGTCGCCGATGGTGAAGTTTGGAAAGAATCCGACGGTTAGAGTAACAGACTCGCCGTTTCCGGTGAAGGATGACGGGGACCACAAGGTGGACGAAGCGGCAGAGGCGTTTATCAAACGGTTTTACAGTAACCTGAAACAGCAGAGGATCACGCCGGGTATGGAATCTCCGTCGCCGTACCACGATATGTGGGGCCGATGAAATTAAAACGAATCGTTTTGGGTAACCTATCCATATTTTGGAGCTGTATAGAAGAAGTTTGTCGGTTTTCCGCAAATGCTTTTTGAGTGAACGACATGTCGTCTTCACTTTGTATACCACAACAGCGACCAAGTACAGATATCAACCATCGTACTTCACATAAAAAAAAAAAAAAAAAAAAATTGTAATGTATTATAACCGGTGAATGGATACGCCGGGATCAATGGGCTTTTGTAATCTTCTTCTTTCTTTTTTTTTAAATTTTAATATATGATATTTTAAAGCCCAAGCGCAATTTTGAATTATAAAATTGTTGATTATTGTCTTTAATTAGTGTATTTAAGGAATAATCTTTTGTGTGAGCCAAGCTTAATAAAGAACAATTTGATTTTTCATTGAAATTGAAACTAAAGTAAAGGGGTGTTAAGGAAAAAAAAAAAAAAAAGATGTCTGTGGGTCATGTGAATGTGAATAATGTCTCTTCTTTTCATAAAGTTAGTAGGGTAAATAGTTTTTTTTTTTTTTTTTATTTACTCGCATTAATTGGTACTTAATTCAAGTGTTATCGAGATATTTTTATATGGGTCTTTGACTTAGAAGAGCGGTGAACAGACATTGCATTATTATCTTTTACGGTTCGTACTTTATGATTAACATATTATCCATTTCGAGCCTTCCTATCTTATTGGTATTAAATAATATCTTATAATATAAGAATGTCAACATACATCAAATATTTTTTAGTTATATATATATATATATATATTTCAATTGTCAAGAATGATTGAATATATAGTTATACCTTATAATGGCAATGTTAAATGATTGAAGATTGAAAATACAAAAATAATTGGTGCACGATAAACTTAATGGGTACGTAAAGATAATTAGTAAAGAAGTTGACGTGGACATATTTTTTTTGGGATTCTTAAGATAAATAACTATGATTTATGGGAAATATACTATAATTTACGAGTATAATGTTTGAATTTATTGATTTATTTTTTTATATGAGATTACACTTTTTTTATTTAGACTCACTAGTCGACACGTATGTTTCTTTTTTCTTATTAGTTGCTTGTGGAACAAGAAATTGGCTCAATCTTTTCCACAGAGATCAACTTTTTATTCCAAATGTTACCGTGTTGTTTATTAAAAAATTGATGGGTTTAAGTTTTTGAAACATAAACTTTACTTAATAACCTAAACCTTATAATATCTGCATCTAACGGGGTTTATCTCTAACCCTTTATAATATAATTAAATATAATAAAACTTTGCCTTAAAGATACCAAATTTAATATCATTGTCGAGAAAAGCGAGCACTTGCACTTTGATTTAGGTTGTGCACAAAGCCAAAAACTTTATACAAGTTTGAAAAAAATGTACATATTATATTATATATTGGTGGGGGTGTTTGGTTTATTTAGACAAATAATATTGCAATTTCTGGCTGATTTTGTCGTAGGAAGTGTTATCTGAAGGGAAAGGAAAAGATAAAATATGTGGCAATTAAAAAAAGAAGCAAAAGTGGGCTACTTTGGAGGCTTTTCTCAAGAGAGTGCTTGTTTTATTTGAAATTTGTTAGTGTGTTGGAAAGTTTTGTGGGGATTTTTGGGGTTGATTTGGTGTTGGGTGTGTGTGATCCAATTATTGGACTTTCAGATCCCATTTTCTCAATGTCCCTCTTTCCAAAGTGAAACTCCATCCATTTTATTAGCGAGGATTTATCCTAAACGGAGACGAGATTTTCTGTTTAGATGGAAAATGGAGAAGTGGGTGGCGAACATCTTTTCTCTGTTAGATAAATGAGACCGAATACGAGATTATATTTTCCGTTTCTATCCTACCCAATTTCCCTCCAGAACCTCGTTCCTGTCCTATTTAATATAAATATATTTTCAACATATATTTAGGTTGTAATATTAAATGGTAAAAATTTATACAAAGAAACTGCAAATTATTTATGGTTGTATTTGATAAATTTAGTTTTTTTAGTTACGGTTGATTCGGTTTTCATAATATATGTAAGAAAAGAAAAGGGTAGATAATATTTATAAATTTAATTTTTTAAAAATAAAAATGAATATAACTTTTTCTGTTTTAAATTTAATTCGGTTTTTTTGTTACTTTAATTACAAGGGCACTTTAGTAAAAGGAGTTGATAACAAACTATTTTGAAATTTTGTTCTACATTTGAAAATGATTTTTATGTTACTTTAAACACTATGTTTTTTAGTGCAAGGGGTAATTTCGCCATTTTAAAAA